GTGCTGGAGGATTGTTTTGTAAAGAAATGTTCTTAAAATTACCAAAAAAGGCAATTTTTAAGAACTGATGGTTTTACAGGAAAGAGTTTTTTTTTTAATTTCTTATAATATTTATTATTTTAAAAAATTTTAAAATATATTATATATTATAAAAATTATAAAAATGTTTAAATGTTTTTTTAAATAAAGATTTTAAAGATTTTTTTTAAAAAATTTTTTTAAACCATTTTAAAAACCTTTAACTATATTATATTAAATTTGATAATTTTGTATAAAAAATTTTAACATTTTTTTAGTTTTTTAAATTAACAATTAATTAATTAATTAAAAATAGATATTAAAAAATAATATAAAAATTCAAATATATTATTATAATTAAAATATAATAAATTAATTATTTTGAATTGTTTTATATTATAAGAAAATAAATTAATTATTTTGAATTGTTTTATATTATAAGAATAGATATAATTATTTTTTAAATATTTATATAAATATGGATTTAATCAAGTTGTTAAAATAATAATATTCATATATTAATATATATTTTAAAATAATATATACTGTATATATATTAATAATTTTAAATTTATATAAAAAAAAACATTGTTTTTCAACTTTAAATTTTTATTGTACAATAAAATTATTAATCAAATAATAACCAAACATTAATTTTATAAATATTTTTGTGATATACTGTAAGTAGATAAATTAATCTTTTTGTTTTTCTAAAAAAAATAATTTGGCCTTTTGATACTTGAGTTTAAAAACAATTTTTGAATCTTGAATGATATCATAAAAACTTACTTGATTTTAAATATTTCTAATTATTTAGCTTTAAATAATAACATTTTTATTTCTTTTAAACTTGATGTTTTTTTTAATAGGTGATTTTTTTGATTGAAAATTTCATTAAATAACAATTTAATCTTTTTTCTGACTAAAAACAGAATTCAAAATATGCTGTATTAATAAAAGCAACAATGAAAAAAATATTGATCACCACAGTAATGAAGGATCACAGGAAAAATCAATTACTCAATGAGATAACTTCATATGTCATTTCGAGCAATACCCCTTGCTTTATGATTAATCGACTGGTTGAATTTATTAAAAAGCTCAACAGTGCAGTCTTTCGGAAAATAATTACATCCTGTATATTTGATTTATGCAATTTTTTTCCTTAAGGTTGAATTAGCTAGCCATTTATGCATTCTTTTTTTAGAAAACCCTTCCTTGTGCCATTGATGCGCCCTCCCCTTCAACAAATTCTTGTTCTTTGTTCCTTTAAAGGTACCTTTCATTCTTGCATATTCATCGTTTCGCGCATTGATAGTCTTGTGTGAATCAAGATAACCACCCTAATCACATTCAACGCATTTGAAACCAAACTTCCAATTACGACGCATGATGTTACCTTGTTACTTTCATAAATGCTAGATTCATGGTCAATGACTGAAAGAACCTTTTCTTCAAAATAATAATGATTGATTCATCCATTGTTTCTTATGGGAACTTATGGAAAACATTAAGAAAAACGCTTATCATCATATAAAGACTGTTTATGGTAGTGTTTATTAGATCATGCATAATTATACAAAACAAGTTGCGCTAAACTCTTTTTATTTGCTGTAACATGCAATAAAATTTATCATATTCAGAACGGTTTCATTTTATTATTACAAGGTCAAACTTGTTTTTCACATCAATACATTTTGCTTAAAATTATCGCATAACATTTCTGCACCAAATATTTTCACCATTTTATGAGTTCTCGTGGTTTAACTCAAATATTTATGCCCGCTCGTCTGATGACAATTCGATACGGTGCATCGCATTACCTCTGGAAGTTGATTGTTACGTAATGTTCATGTCCATAACTAACAAAATATTAAATTACCGATTAACGTTAAATTAACACATCAGCAGTTTGGTGAAGGTGGTGCTACATATGGGAACTCGTAAACCATATACAGTATATAACGAAGAATAAATTACACAACGATCATTGGTCACCTTTTTTGACCAATACTCGTTATCTTGAATCGATCGCTCAATAACTTGATACGAAACGAGTTTCCATCACATAACAACAGCTAACAGGCCCAATACATAATGATGGATGAGTGAAGAGATCAGACGTGGATTCTATGTGCAACAAGAATGTATGCAAGATGTACAGTATATACGCATTCGTACACATGAGAGCACATCAATTTAAGTCACGTGAAAATTTGTCTTACAAGATCTCGATATTGTATGCACATGGTAATGTGGTGCCTTTTTCATTCTCATTATTAATTTCACGTGTTTCATGGGACAACTTACAATTAGTCCGCGGAATTTCAGTTTCAGCCCACCGAACATCCATTTCCAGAATTATAAAAGAAATTCTAGCGCATATGTAAATAATAGCACTCAAAAATGATACGGGTTTCTTTAATTATCGGTTGCGGACAAACAAGTGTCATGATTTTGAATTACAAGAAATTTGTAAGCGAGACACCCATTATTAGATTCGGACTTGTACAAGTCGATTGAAATACGTAAGACCAATTTGTGGTTTTCTAAATATAAAGAATGTAAGATACTCCTTAAGGTAGGGTGGTGTTTTCACAACCATCACTGCCGGAGCGCAAGTTGCATAACCGGTAAAATCAAATTATGAGATCATTGATATAATTCACTTAAATGTGATATGTGATTACGTAGTCTACGTCTTGTTTACGTACATATTTACATGCCATCAAACGCATTCGATATGTGCGATATGTGCGTACACGTATGCTTGTCTAATTTCGAATAACACTTACTTCTTTTTCAGTGTCAGGTGCACCCGTGCACAGCAATAATAGCGTCAAGGGATCGGCCCATCCGATTTAGTTATTTGATTATCGCAACCATTATTTATTTATATGTTCATTCATCTGCCTAAAAAAAGTTGTTTTAAAAAAAAAGCACACACACATATCGCACGAAACATAGTTCAAGATTGAAATTACAAAATATTACTTGAATGGCCGCTAATTAGTATTCATTTCTTGTATATCATGTATAAGCAATCGCTCGCGTACATCATATATACCAACAGGATGAACCAACTCGCATTACACAGTGCAAGCGCAAAGCATTTCTTAATAGGCGCAATAAACACAACCATCATTCCTAAGTGAGATCACGATAAACTCTAATTTTTATGTACGCAATAGTGAACCAAATTTATCTTCCTTTTATGGTCCGGTAAATCAAATTTAGCCTTGAGTGCGTAATATCCGAATTATTGCTAATACTTACTTGTAAAATATTTATATATTCTATTTACATATAATTTCCTCATAAGTTATATTTTTTTTATCGTAAATGTGTGTGTAGCGTACTTTATTTAATACACGATTGAATCATTGACGACGGCATTATATGACGCTTTATTTTATTATCATTATTTTCCAATTTCTCCTTTTGCTTCTCAACCTCGTTCTCCTTCACAACTTTCAATGTTAGCAGATAATCGTCTAGATATCTTAAGAAAAATTAGATAATACTTGGAGGGAAATTCACTAAAACCAAAAAAGAAAACGTTAAATATAGGCTGGAACAGGATCATTAATGTCCGGACACAATAATAATCATAATTATATTATAATTAGAGTTACTTCTCGTTATTGTAAGCAATCGGTCTTTATAATAGATATCGCAAGAAAAAGAATCTAACGAAAAACTCACGCGCGTTGACGCCACGGAGTCAAGAAAAGGATTCTTTCTACACAAGAAAAAAGACATTCTTCCTTTTCACATAAAGAGAACATTTCCACACACACACACACGTAAATACGTTGAAACTACCATTTTATGTTTCCTTTATATTATGAGAAAAATAAACTGGTCAGAGCAAGTGTCTTCACCTGGACTTGTTTCTGTGTTATTATATTCCTACTATTTGATCTTTTTCTTTATAGTAATACTATCTCATGGTCCTCAATTGTTGTTAGCTCAAAGATCACTCACCACCACCACCACCAGTACAAGTCAAAGCTCACCTACTTTAGCACCTGCTTCCCCAAATAGTACAATAATAACTTCTTCATCTCACAGAGAAGATGGTTTCCCGGACGGATTTCAGGTGATTGCGGATACCACCTATGATGATGGAACCATATTACTAAGGATTCGACCGAACACCAATAGGACTTGTGAATCAGAGCCACTATACCTAAGAATAATCACCACCGACGGAGCCATATTGTCGTTAAATATCAGCAGTGCTCAGTTGTCTCTGGGTAACTCGAGTTTTTGTTCGGCAGAGCCGGAAACAAGTTTCAGTTTGAATCCGTATTTATATGGGGATGCGGCAAACAACAACTTGGCGAGCTCCGGTTATTACACAGACAACATCAAGATATTTGCCATCGCTAGGAATTACATTCTGTTGAATTATCTATGCAGAGATCCTTCGCAAAGTCTTTTTTGTTGGATGGTGTTGGATTGGACGGGGAATGTGTTAAAACGGTAGGCATCATTTGCATTTCGGGGTGTGGTGCAGATATACTATTCCACGGGAAAAATTCAATTCTTCATTTATCATCTAACTTTATTCAATTGGCAAAAGTGACATGCCCATAGGAGGGAACTGTGATGCCTTGAGCGTCGTGCAAAACATTAATTCTCAATCGGGATTCTTGTGGGTATGTTATATGAACTCGACCAGTCAACTGAATTGGACGAAGGTCAGTTATCCGTAAGTACAAATGTTCTCAGAATGAACCGGTTATTTTTCCTTTCGATTCTTTTTTTATTTTTTGTAAATATTTTTATTGATTTTTTACTAGCTTTTCTTTTTTCTTAAAAAAAAAAAAATCCTGTGGGCGCATTTTATTTCACTCTTCGGAATAATCACAAACGGATGATAACTTCTCAATAACAATATTTGGCGCAATTTTTATTTAATATTTGTCATCCGACAAAAACAGTGACACCACGGGTGACATCTCAGTAATAAATTCCGGGACAATATACAACATCCAAAAATTCAGTCCCAACTTTACCTCCATCTTCCCTACGGAAGATGGTGGCTACGGTGTTGTGACAGCACAATACACCTCCGTCGACAATTCCACCGGCATCGCTAGATATTACCCTCCTTGGACTGCGTTTGTAAACTTCATTCCCCCGGGCACCGGGAACGAAACAAAGGGTCCCTTTCAAATCTTTCAGCAAACCAATCAAATCCTCGTCTCGTTAAACGTGTTCCGGTGTACAATCTCGTTTGCGTCATTTGGATATAATTGCATCATGTACCAGATCCCGCTGAATTCGAGTTCGAGTTTTTTGAGTTTGGAATTTCTGAAGAGCGGCGCGGTAATTAACACGACTACGATTGATGTGAACACAAATAACCTAACAGATCTGGTTGTGTGGGATGCTAAAACTTTGTTCGAGGGAGGATACTTGATAATGACCGAGAGAAATCATACGGTCGACGGAAAGGTGTACGCGAACAATGGAGACTTTTATAGTGATTGGGAGATGCCCACAAGCTTTAATTATACGCGACACGTGGGGGTATTTCCGAACAACACCATCTGGGCGATTGCCCTGGGGAATGATAATCGCACGTGGACTTACGTCTCGAATTATGGATTTTCGAATTACAGAGATGGTATGGAGGATTGGAATTTTTTTAATAATTTGAAAATATCGCGAAAGTCACGTTCTCATCCATTGCGATCTCTTTCTCTATATGTTAATAGTTCCGGATCCGGGAGGCTACGGTAATACCTTTGTCCTCTCTACCACCCCGCAAAAAGCCGCCACCATTTCGGGAAGGGAAACTACAAAACTCAGCATAAACTTCAAAAACCCGGTCGGCCTAACAAGTGACGGAAATGTCTCTATATGGCAACTAAATAGCTCTTCATCACTAACGTACTCAACATCTACCACAACATCATCATTGTATTTCCTGAACTTGAATTCCGCAGACTCACTTTTGGGACTCCTATCTAACTCATCTTCATCATTGTCCCCTTATCTCGCGTACGAAACCTCATCATCTGTTGCCGCTATCTTACGGCAAACCTTTTCTGGAACAAATTCACAGTTTGTGCGCCTAATTAATGGAAACACCACGGTGGAGTTTGACGCATTGGAAAGTACATTTAATCAGAAGGGAGCGGTGTATTTTGTGACCATGGATAGCGGGTTCGTGGAGGACAGCACATTCGTGCAACCATTGTTGGGGTTGAGACCGTTGGCTTGGAATTTCACTACAAGTAGGTGTGACTTCTGGGAATTGGAAGAGAGGAAAAGGGCGAAGGTTTTAGAGATAGGCATGAAATACGGTTATAAACTTTCTAATATTTCTGAACTTCTTTAGATTCCGATGATCCAGATACGAACTCTGGTAAATGCTTTTTTGATTTTTTCGCCATCCTCTTTCCTACTTAAGTTTTACCATCATACTCATCACTGCTCGTATAATTTCAAGGTTCCCTAAACGCAATAATCCGTCTAACGCCTACAGGCACATCCTATTACACCTCATTATCAAAGGAGAATAGAACAAATTTTATCGATCAATTGTCCAAAGAAATATCATCAATAGTTCCGTGTTCATCCTCCCGATTGCACGTGAACAGACATTATCAGTTCGACAGAAGCGTTGATAAATCACAAATTTTGATGAGAGTCAGTGTGGACGCCGTCTCCTCGACAAACACGGGCTCGAGCTTGACAACTTTGGCAGGTATCACCGGAGAGCGAAGTTCTTCAAGAGTAATTCGTGATCTAGACGTCTTGATTCGGAATCGGGACGTTACCATGATGTCACAGAAACCGTTCACAAGTTTTCTGGATCCGAATTATGGATGCCAGGTTTTACGTATGTGTTTGGAAACGGAAGAGCAGTTACTTAAGTAGTCCACGGGGAGATATTTTTATACTAACGACGACTTTTGTATATGATCCATAGCTAACTTATGGCTGAGATACCGATGGATATTATTTGGAGTGTCTTTTGGATTATTGATATTACTCATCATATTTTTAATATCTCGAAGCTTGCACAAGGAGGTGATCATTGATTCTAAAACTCAATTTTTTAACAATATCCAGCTCACAATTGTTAATCTTTGATTTGTTTGTTTACACGCATTCTATCGCAGGGGAGAAGTTTCGTGATATTCACATTTACACTGATAATTGTGGATTTCGTGATGGATATATTGTTTTTAATATTTCACGGTCATGATTTAAACTGGTTGTTCGATGTTAGGTGAGCACTCCTTCGCGCGCGCGCTACAAATCACGTCTCCTCTTACGCATTATTTAATTTACGCGTTACCATATTAATTTCTCGTTTTTCTCTCTCTCATTATCAGCATCTCATTTTTAATAATTCCCATTGGCATAAACATCATCTTCACTTTCATAATAATAACCCACGAGACCGCTGAAAATAACGGATTCAGCGCATGGTGGTTCAAAAATCCAAAGGTTGCGTTGATATTCACATTTCTTTCGAGCGCGGACGCGGAGTCTTTAGACGTTATGTCGTCGGAAAGTGCAGAAGTATCGGGACTGAGCGCTCCATTCTCTGCCCGTGGATTGAAGAATATTATCATGCTTAATTTCTTCAGTATTCTAATTGAAGACTTGCCACAACTAGTTATTCTGGTAGGTTGAATTTGTTACCCAATGGTGTTTTGAAGTATCACATACTCTCCTTTTCACAAAAAATGTGATTTCATAGATATTATATCAGGCATACACGATCGTCCCGGCCATAATACCGATATTAACATTATCCTCATGTAGTATAGTAATACCACTCAAAATAGTGAGTTTAATTTATTTATTGGCCCAGTACAAACATCAGAAATCCGAGGCAAAAATACTACCATCCGAAGATGTTCGATCAAATGTTAAGGACAAACGCCGCGAATCGTCCAGTGGTGAAGGAACGTATGACCCTATACTATTTCCAATAAAAAATCCAATCAACGAACCAAAAATTGATCTGGGTACAGAGGGAGACTTAAAACCTATATCCGAACTAGGTGGCAGTTCGGTAACACCCCTAAGAAAACCCTATGAATCCAAGCTAATAGAACGGTTTGATGCTCCCGAAGAACAACCGCCACCATCACCACCCAAGAAATCGCTGTCGTTTAGGCTGGGATTGTTTGGTAGTAGGTCAAAGAAAAATCAAGGTGGAAGTGATAAAGGAAAATCGCGAGTGACAATGCCGAAGTCTCCCAAGGATGATGATTATGATCAAAGTGGAGAAGAGAATGGCGATGGAGATGATGAAAATGGCAATGAAAATGAGGATAGTAATGATGGTTAGGGAAATGACAGCGAATGTAATTAAAAGTAATATTTACTGTAGACTTAATATTTTTGGTTTGGTGTTTATAAAATAATGTCAAAATTTGGGGTAATTAATCTAAAGGAAAACCAGTGTTAATACCATTTCACCAACATAAATAGCATTTTCTTCTTTTTTTTTTTTGTATTTTTAGCAAAGTTTTTTTAATGTATATTTTATACATCAAAAAATTTCAAACCTTATCTTAAAACTCTATGCTCCGCACCATATTCCATCTTTTTCTAATCAAAAAAAAAAATCATTTGCACCCGAACACAATGCATAATAAAATAATTCATTCTCGTTTCTTTAAATATCACGATACGACCGATTTTCGCGTATTGAAGATCTATATTACGTAAGCGATGTACATTACATCATATACAACGTATTTTGACGAGCAACCAATTTTTGGTAGTCCTACCAACTCCAGAAATGTTACGGCTCACATTACCAAAAACTACTCAACAATTTCTCACCTCATACAACATAACATTATTCGGATGTATCCGCGATCCAAAAAATTCACTCATTTCAAGATTTAATTTAAAGAAAAATGAACGGATAAGCGTCAGAAGTTATATACCACGTACGGGGTTCCGGATTAATATTGAAAGAAGACGTGTAAAACCTTCAGTTTTAAAGCCAATTTTATTCACACTTTTCGCCTCGGGTGCATCATTTGTCGCGGCCCTCACTTGTTTCGAACATCGACGAAGAAAGATTCGACGCGAATACTTGCAAAAAAGTTTGTTTGGTGGATATGTCGGATATAGTGAAGACCAGTCGAATAGTTCTGAATGGTACAAAATTGTTTCGCAGCAATTCGAAACCCTCAAAAGATCAAAGATATACCAAGAGATCGAAGGAAATTGGAATCTCGTGAGAAATAAATGGTACTCGATGGATGATGGTAAAAAGATCTTGGCCGCTTTGATTGGTGTCAACGCTGTGGTGTTTGGAATGTGGCAAGTTGTCTCTTTGCAACCTTTGATGAATAAATATTTCGTCCATCATCCACTCTCTGGCCGAGTGATCACCTTATTCACGTCGATGTTTAGTCATCAGCAATTTTGGCATTTTGGAATGAATATGATGGCGTTGTACAGTTTTGGGGATATCATCTATCATCTTTTTGGGAGAGAACAATTTTTGGCATTTTACGTTACCTCAGGGATAGTTTCATCATGTGTGAGCCATGTTGCTTCGCTGACATTTATGAACTGGAAAAACATAGCACCATCGTTAGGAGCATCAGGGGCCATTTATGCTTGTCTTAGCGTTGTGGCCGTGGAATATCCAAACATGTCAGTGGCTTTGATCTTTTTACCTTTCCTACCCATAAAGATTAGCTATGCCCTTTCTGCATTGGTGGCATTTGATTTGTTTGGCATTTTTTCTGGAATGAGGATGTTTGATCATTTCGTAAGTTCATTACGCGTTATATATACTGTATATACGTATATGTATTGGCAAAGATCTAACAAATGTTTTTAAATTTATTAGGCTCATCTGTCCGGTGCAATATTTGGTATTGTGTATAATAAATTTGGGAAGGAGCAATACTGGAAGATTGCCGAGGCCTTGAAACAACATTAATTTATTACGATTTGGTTTAATATAATATTTTCGGATCCTTTTTTTTTTTTATTAATTTAAAGTATTGTTTTTTTTGCGACCCTAACCAAAACTGTAATCGACATATGACCAAAATAAAATCATATTGTACATTGTTTTTTATCCATTTGTAATCTAATCATATGTACTTATTATTAAATACAAGTAATATGTACACAATATGTGAGGACATTAAATTTTCTAATTAATTTTAAAGATTAGTAAAGATTATAATAATTTATAGATTATCATAATTGAATGTGATTTTTGAGGTTTTGGTTTTTTTATAATGTGCTTATGATGTGAAAAAAATAATCATTAAAAAATATAAATAGACAAAAAATAATAAACATAATTTTTTATTGATTTGATCTCTAAATATTTTAAAACAATTAAAAAAATATATAGATATAAAATATATATTTGTTTCAAAGAAATATTTTTTTGATAAATATTGTTTATGCCAATTCATATAAATCTGGTATGATTTGTCTTTTTGAAATTTTAGGAAATATCCTTTAAATTTTTTAAATTAATTTTCTTTTTAAAGACAACAAGATTTAATGCTTAAACAAACAAAAAAAAACAAAAAAATTTTTAAAAAATAATTTAAAAAAAAAATAATTTTATTTAATTACTTAATATCATGACAATTATTATTGGATTTTAGGTTTTATTTTAATATAATTAATTATTTATTAAATTAGATATAACAGTTTTTTAAATAACAGCTATATTAAAAATAAAAAATAATAGAAATAATAATAATAATAATAATAATAATAATAATAATAAATTATTTTAAATAAATAATCAAAAAATTTTGATTTTCATTCATCCATATATTCATTTATTTTTGATTAGATGTAAATAATGGATATGCTGATTACTGGTGATTAGATTTTATTATTAAGAAAAAAAAGACTCAATTTTTAATTTTTCTAACATGATATCATGAATCTGGTTTAATTAAAATAACAAATCTAGTGATTTAAAAAAAAAATGCTGGTGATAATGGATTTTATAGAGAATTACAGTATGTTAGATAACAATAACAATGAAGAAATTAGACGATTACGAACAATTGTTGTTTTCTGTTGTCACTTTTTATTGTACTTTGTCATATTGGAAATTAATATACTCGGGTGTGATATGAAAATAATTTCAAATCGTCCATCTCATCATTGATTTTAATATAACTTTTTTAATGAAGAAATCATTTTTGAAATAAACGTGCAACCATAAACTAAACGAGAAGCAGGTAAATAGGGTTTATATAATGGACAGAGTTTAATCGCATTGTTATTTTATATTGAGAACAGGTGTGATTTTTTGCAATAACGCCACCATCTGTAAATGCTTTTACTCCCTTGAATAGAGTTTTTCTGTCGACAAATGGCATGTCAATATCCCTGATGTCCGGTAATCCACCAATATCATCGATAGTCAGAATTTTTGGTGCACAAAATTGTCCTAGCTATTTATGCGTGAAATTCGAAGATGCATCAATGGTTTATGTAAGATAGCCTCGTGTCATGTTTGATAGGAACTTAATTGCATCTCATTTTCCAAATGATTTTATTCATATTGCGACTTCTTTCATGCTCGGCGTCACAAGATATCTTTACACCCGTTCTACGGTTAGAAAATCATTTATCAACGGCGATCAAGTGAGCAGGGACGGTTACATCTTAAGGAGACCATTGTACTGCAGAATATTCCGCATTTACAACGAAGTTCATTGAGAAATATTCGAATAAACATAATGGAATTTTTTTTTTTATCCCTTGAATAACTGATGTGCACGGTCAAATGAACGTGTCTTCTTCTGCTGACAAACGAACATCTATGCTCCTTTTTACACTTCTTACTCACTTCAAGTGGTATAGTAAGAAAATGAGATGCATTGCAAAATAAGTACGCAGAAATGCGTGCATCAAATTTTTAAAACCTAACCTCATTTATGGCATGTATACGGAATATATTCGCCGTAAATCCTATTTCGAGAATGAGGCAAAGTAAATGAAAATTAATAATATGGAAATGACGAGCGTTCAGGCATTGTACTTAAATTCACCTATTTTTACGCCATCCTCCATTATCTTTCCTTTTGTCAGTTTCTCGTCATTCTGCCACCCCTTCCTTATCCTAATTCCTTTTTATATCTACTAAATAATTACCAACAATGGCAATCCCAAGTTCCAACCAATGTTCGGAACAAACCAACTCCCGTGCGTCATCTCTACCTCATCCACATCAAAAATCACAAAAAACGCTTAGAAAATCTCGATCGACAAGTTCACTAACTCGTAAACTAAACCCCAGCCTGAGTTCTCAACTCTTTTTCCCATATACAGTAAACCATGTTAATGACGTCAAACATAAAGGAAATAGGCTTATCGAAACCAATCATCATATAGATAGCGATAGAATATCAATTTCAGTCACCAAGAGAGAGGTTAAGCGCCATCATTCGAGACGTCATACTGTTGATTATACAAGTAACGAATTAAACTTGGAAAAACGAAACACGAACCCTCCTGAGAATGTTCGATGCTGTAACTTGTCAGTGGTGAAAGAACTAAATGTATTATCTGGAAGTAATTACATGCTCGTAAAATGTGATAAGCATCCTGAGGTCAAAACACCGAAAGAGAAATGGTGGCATGTCAAGAAGATGAACAAGAAAAATAAAATGAAGAAGGTCATCTGCGGTATTGGTGGGTCTTCAGAAACAGTTACCGTGAAAAGAAAGGATGGTAAAAAGGTAAGAACAAAGCTTTGTCAGATTTTTCAAGATCTTTATCAAGAAATCTTATTAAATATTCCACTTTCTTTCGTCCAGTTTGTGGTTAAATGTGTAGATAAGGTAGGCATTTCTATATGCAAATTTTATGTGATTATGTTTTTTCTATTTATTAATTTAATTTGCTAATATCATATGAAAAGAAAAAACTCCTAAAAGATGAATATTACAAGAACGCCCACTCAGGGACTTGTGATTGTAAAAATTGTCAAGATCCTACAACCACCTCCACATCACACTCGATATCTTCATTAATAAGGGGTAAATTTCTAAGGAAAAAATCTGTCGCATCCGACACTCTCATCATCACTTCCGCTGCACAAAAAATTAGTCAAATTAGATTTAATTCTTCACCCGCGCTCGCCTCCATCATGGAAGATGCTCCCCCCCCAAAATATGTTAATGTTAGATAATGTCTTGACACATTCGCCCCGCAATTCCTTGTCTTTATCGTTGACCTGTCCTTCCACGCACCTCGATCATCTCTCATCTCCGTCTTCAACAATTATTGAGGATAAAATTCCGTTAGAATTGCTGCTGCTGACAGCAAATAGCACGGAGCTTCCAGAATTCGTAACATATTTTTCTAACGATGACTATTATTATTATGTTACAAAAATGCACGGGGTTAAGCAGAGAAAATGGAAGAAGCCAAGAAGTTGGCGTTGTAAAAAGTATTTTGACGTTTTTTGGGATGATTACATTAGTAAAAATGTGAAATGTGTTGAATAATACATTTTACTTTTACTTTCTAAAAAAAATCTTTGATTTTTTCTTGTAATATACGGCTCGCGTGGTGCTTTTTTTTGATTTCCGCTTAACTCATCATTCTTATCTTTCTTTAATAATTACATAAAAACCAGACCTTAATAAAGTATTTAAAAAAAAAAATTCTAGAATCCATTCAATATCATTCTTTCGAAATATCTATGAAATAGTTGAAAAATAAAAAGTTTAAGAAGTTTAGAATAAATAATCCCTAATTCATTAAGCAGTAGAAATTAATTTAAATTAACCTATTTTTTATATACAGTACATGTATAAAATATAACGAAAACAAATAATTTGATAATAAAAATGTTAAAAGAAATGTATGCCAATTAAAAAAAATAACGATCCCTTAAAATTATCATGACTAATTAGAAATGGTTAATATATGTTAGAGCCTTTTTTTTTTATTAATAATGAAATTAATTTTCTTAATGTAATTATCTTATCAAATAAAACAGAAAATAAAAAATTAATAAAAACTATTTTATTATTCAATTATAACTTTTTTTATTAATAGTTTTTTCTTTTTAATTATAGTATAAAAATTTTTTAAAAAAATATAAATTTGATTTTTTTTTAATTAGAATTTTAAAACTAATAATTTTAACTATTTTTATTTTTAATTCTTTAAAAAGATAAAAACAAAAAAACAAAATGTTTATACTTTAATAAATTGAAAAAAAAATAGGTAATGACTTATATTTTATTTATAATAGATATAGATAATAATATTCTTGCAGATTCAAAAAAAGATAATAATAAAATTAAAGACTTCATATTGTGATTTTTATTTTTCTAACTTTATATACAATATATAATATTTTGTTTATTTATATTTAATCTCTTAAGACAAAATAGAAATTTACAATAAATTACTTGATATTTTGATTAAATATTAAAATAAATATGAAAAATCAAAAAAAAATTATATAAGTTGATATGTTTTTATAGTATATTAGATCTTTTTAATAAATATATATCTAGGAAAAATAAAAAAAGCTCTTAATATTGATTAATTTAAATGGCTTAAAAAAATTACTTCAAAAAAAAATTTAAACCAAACTTTAAATTTATATAATATATTAAGCAATTTATTAAAAACATATATATTAGAGTTGCAATTTTAACTATTATATGCAAGTTATATGTTTTTAAAAAAATTTAATCCTTATTTTTATAAAGTATAACAAATATTAATTCATTTTAGGTATTTTTTAAAATTAATATTTACATAATTTTTATTTTATTATTTATTTTTTATAAATGGTTTTATTCTAATTAAATCTTCAAAAAAAATTAAATATAAGAACTCCAATTTAGAAAAAACTTTTTTTAATAATATAATAATATACAATATATTTTGAATTAACTATTTATTTATTTATTTATTTTTTTTTAAAAGTTAAACGGCATTAGATGCAAATTCTTTATTGATAACAATGTATTCATTACATCACGCATCCTTTGTAATACATGACTACAACTAAACGCTAGCCTATCAACTTTTATTCATCTGGTACCCGGAAGCCTGTCACTTGATGACTTTTCCTCGTGATACCAGGGGGCTATAGGGGGTAGAAATCCTATCGCTAGTTTTAAACTACCTAACCTATAGGGCTTATGCTTATGAGGGGCTTATACTGTTAATTATCTTATATAGATTACCTTTCACATCACACTTCTCTCAATCCATCACATGAGCAGAGGGGAACCTTCGACGCAAGCACATACTCCCTAGTGAATGCTCCGGTTTTGACCGCTGGTTGGACACTACCAAATCTAGGAGCCATTTTGGCCAAGTGGGGCGTGACTCCTTAAGGATCTACGTAAATGTGGATTATAATTGCAATTTTTTTTTGACACACTTTATATTTTAATATAAGAAAAAAATTTTAATTAAAATTTATTAATTATTTAGAATCACAAATTAAATACAATACTATAAATGAAACAAATTTAGATTCTCAAACTTTTTCTGAAGAATCTAATGAACTATCTCAAATGAATACATATAATTATTCCAATATTACTTATATTATTCATCATCATCATCATTATACATCATTGCCTCAATAATTTACTTTCATAGTTATCTCTGGAATGTATATTTCCTTATTTTCGGAAGTGTATATCGTATTGTATTAAATTGCATTTATAATTATGTATAAATTTACAATAAACAAATAAATAAAAGTTACATATTATATGAATTCTAAAAAAAAAAATTGGTTTATTTGTTATATAATTTTAAATAAAAAAATTTTTCATGTGTGATTTTTAAACTTTCTAAATTTATTTTTATTGCTATATGATTTTTAAGATACTAATATCTACTAGTATACCGTGATATAGCATATATACAGTAGCATAATCAATAGTAACTACCGGATAATTACACATATTGCGTTATATTTACGTAATAAATATTATTATAGTACCTAATATTTAAGCCTAGGAATATTTGAATGTTAAGAATCCAAAGATATACAGCATATGCTTTCAATCTATAATTTATGTACCGTAACTCTATCATAAGGGTTATTACGGATAATACTCTAAAGGCATATACCATATTGTTAATCAATATCGATATCAAGTAGTTTGCTATCTATATATACGATCAGTGTTAATATACAGTAATATGATAAAATCAAACAACAAAATCAAAAAAGTAATATACACATCATTTACCGTGAAAATGCGATTTGATATTAGGAACAAATTCACTTGTATAGATTGCTTTTGTGTATGTTTGTACGTGAGAATTTTCCATCTTTTCTGATATTTTATCAAACTCGGATAATTCTGTTAAAATTTTTTTCGTATTTCTCCATTCAGCCAAAGTTTTGCAAATTTCTTCGGCAAGTGGGCGATTTTTCGGATTTCCATCCCAACATCTTTTCATAAGATCTATGTAACGCTGAGGTGTACCTTCAATAATAGTTGGTCGGAAGCCATTGTATACTTGAATTTGAAATTGAACTCGAGATTCTTGGTTAAAAGGAACAGCTTTTCCAGAAGAAACTTCCCACATAATAATACCAAATGAGTAAATATCTGATGCTATGGTATATGGATTGCCACAAAAAACTTCAGGTGCTATGTACGGCAAAACCCCACAAACCCCATCAGATTCTGTATCAGTCGACATTGAAAGACCCAAATCTACAATAGATGCATTGTCTAAATCGCGCAGCAGTATATTACCGCTATGTAAATCTCGGTGAATAAGATTTTGTGAATGAATTAATTGAAGATCTTGAGTAATACTAAGTAACAATTTTAACTTATCTTCCCAATCAGTTTGTGTTACTAAGTAAAGGTTATCACGCAAAGAACCCATCGACACATATTCCATGACAAGAATGAAATCTTTAGAAGCGTCATCTCTGGAAACTCAATAGCATTTTAAAAATTTAAGGTTTTGATAACCAACATCGCAATATGCCTTTAGCTTAATTCAAGAAAAGAGTAAGAAAAATTTAAAACCAATAACTTATTAAATAATTTAATAGAAATACCTCTTTTATAAGTTTTTTATGACTATTTCTTGATCCATGAAGTAGTTTAAGTGCAACACTCCTAGCAAACCAGCGCGCAAAAAATACTGTCGCAAATCCCCCTTGTCCTATTTTTTCAATGTCTACAAATTGGTTGTAAGGAATCCAAGGTAACGAATATTTGCTATCGGCAAGCATCTTCTTAATCTCATCATCGGTATCAAAATTTTCCAGCATCGATTTATTCTTAACTAAATGAATAGAATTTTAGATTCTGAATAATAGGATAACCAATATATAGTAGTCTTACTATAATTACCTAATAATTGATTTCTTTCCCTAATTTACATATTATTGTTAATTTATAGCAAACCTTAATGATAAATTAAAATAATTTACTTGCATTTGATACCAATACGTAGCCATTTGTAAGTTCCGTGCAACTCCAATTCCGTCTCTGTAAGATTCAGCAACCACAAACATTCCATTCTCATTACCCATCTCGGCTGATTTTTTCTGATATTTGAATGCATTATATTCATCCTTTTCAACTCCGATTCCATTTTCATAACAAAAACCAACAAAAAGTACGCCATCAGAATCACCCATTTCGGCTGATTTTTGATAATATTCGAATGCCTTACGTTCATCCTTTTCAACTCCAATTCCATAGAAATAACAATTGCCAACATTACATGTTCCCAATGCATTACCCATCTCTGCTGATTTTTGATAATATTCGAATGCCTTATGTTCATCCTTTTCAACTCCAAATCCTTTATTATAACAATTGCCAACATTACATATTCCCAATGCATTACCCATCTCTGCTGATTTTTGATAATATTCGAATGCCTTATGTTCATCCTTTTCAACTCCAAAT